TTTTATAAGACAGTATCCCTCATTGTTTGACCTGGAGCTCATCAAATAGCTAGACAGACTGTCCAGGGGGTGGCCCCTTCAAGCCTTGTTTCCACCTCCCTAGCACTTAGATTTCAAGCACACACCACCATGTCTAGCTTCTTACACAGGTGCAGGTCATGGTCAGGCAGCAAATCCTTTACCCACTTGAGCCATTTCCCTAGCTCTATTTTCCTTTTGTTGGCAGCTACTCTGATGAAACAACTCATTGTGGTTTTGATTTACATTTTCTTAGTACCCATATCCCCCAATGGCTTCACAATTGGTGAGATGTTGCATTTTCATGTATTTATTGAATCAATTTGTATGCCTTCTTTTTAGAACTATCTAGTTCACTAGCCCATTTTTAATTGGTTCTTGAGGAACTGACTTTGAGTTCTTATATATTGTGGATATTCACCTTGTTTGGTGGATAACTTTCAAATAGTGTTTTATTCTGTAGGTTTTCTAATTTTAAAAAAATTTATCATGGGTGTACATGCTGTGTGTGTGTGTATACTTTATAAATTCAGTTCTCGTTCCACTTGTATGAGGGTAGAAGGAATTCAGATTACCTCTGTATTTCAAGTACCTTTACCTGCTGAGCCATTTTGAGCCATCTCAACAGCCTGTTAAACTGTTTCTTAATTCTGTAATTTCTTTCACTCCACAAAGCTTGACAGAACTATGTCTATTTTTACTTTTGTTGCCTGTGTCTTTGATATACCCTCTAAAATCATCACGGCCTACATCAATGTTTTTAAGTGTTTCCCGTCAGAAATTGTCAACTCAAGTATATAATTGCCACATAAACCATTGGAACTGTACTGGGTAGCACAGCATAAAGGACTCTGGAGAATCTTAGATATGACAGTTTACTGAGAAATCATAATGTTTAACTACTCCCGCCTACATCCTTACCTGAGAGGACTGGAGAATACTCCTGTCAGTCAAGTAGTCATGCAGTAAAGAACAAGGTTTTAGGCAACTAAAGTTTATACAACAATGGCCCCACAGGACAGTATTCCCTAGTGAGTTATACTTGTGCCAACCACATCACATAAAGCCACACAATGATAAACTCGCCAAATACACATTGCTCAGAAATTACCTTCATCAGTAAGTGACAGATGGCTCTATTAAGTGTATCAGCAAAGCCATGTTCACACAAAGGATAACTGTATCCTGTTACACAGCAGCATTAGATTATGACTGAACTAACAATGGTTGGAGGATGGATGTTAGTAAAAAGTTATATTATAATCATTTACTTGCTTGCTGTCATATGCATGCCCCACCATTCCTTTGTTCACAAAGGATCAAAGACACATTTTTCAGGTTTCTTTACCAGTAAGTTCTGGTTAGGATCAGCCACTGGAACACATGGCAGAAAACTAAAGGAGAGGAAACCTAGGGGGTGTTTCTTGTTCCTTGGTACTGTAGGTATCACTTCAGTCAGTTCTTGGTCTTCTCCCCATAGAGAGTTCTTTTTTTGAGCTACCACCTAGTCTGGGAAGGCTCTTCCATGGTTCTACCTGCATGGTTTTAGGTAAATTAAGCTTCTTGGATCTGATGACCCTCTGATCAACTTTGTTGATCAATTTAAAAAATGGTAATATCTTCTAAGTGTTCTTAATCTGTTTCAGTTTGTTTACTTACCCATTTATGACTTCATGCATTTTATTGCCTCAAAGTAAACTTGTTTATTCGATAATCTTGACTGATAACCTTCCATTGTAGACTATCTGCATGATGAGACCACAAATCCCTGTAAGGTATGTTTTTCTTGATGTATTTATAAACTATATAAACACACAACGTGGTGCTTTTAATGAGAATGCAGCCCCCCTCCAATGGGCTCAGATGCTTTAGATGCTTGGAAGGATTAAGAGGTGTAGCCTTATGGGAGGTGAGCGCTGAGGTTTCAAAAGCCCACATCATCTTTCTCCTCTCTGTCTCCCTGCCCCCTCTCCAGCATCATGCTCCCTGCCATGATGGTCATACTCTAACCCTCTGAAACTGTGAGCCCCCCAAATTAAATGCTTTCTTTTGAAAGTTGCCTCGATCATGGCATCTTATCACAGCACTTGACAACTAACTAAAGCACAGAGAGGTTCTTACACACCAAGCATTAAAGCTTTCTACAGCAAGGTTTTTGTTTGGTTTTATAATCCTAGGACCAAGGACCTGGTGTATGAAACCTTTTTCTCCTCGACATGTGGTGGGTTGTCCAGGAAACAAACTTTTGAGATAAAGGCAAACATATAAAAAACTTTTATTATAATTCTCAGAGTCAAATTTGTGGAGGAAACAATACTTCCACATTAACAGTCTTAAATGTTTGCACAGGGAGCTTTGGGGCCTTCAGAATTACCCAAACATTAATACAAAGGAGCCAGCTAACCTCTAACTCCACTTTTTCCAGTTACTGGTTATAAGTAATCACCCTGCAGTAGGTCATCTTGAGTAAGACAGCTCTCCCTCCTACCCTCAACTTCCTACACTCCCAGAGAAAAGACTGAAGTGTTTGAATCTTGAAGAGAATCAAGTCAGTATATTGCAAAACTGCCTCGGACTACTCAAGTCACTTGATTTGTGTATCCTTGGGTTTCAAATATAATACAACAGATTCCATTAAAGCATTAAACCACTGCAACTGAATGCTTTAGTGGCCCAATAAGAAGGCTTCTTGGCTATACTCCGCACTTGCTTCATTCACCTGTGCCCAAGACCAAAATTCAGTTTCATCTGGAAGAGCAACTGGGTTATTGTGAGACTTGAATGAGCTAATGTATAGCTAGTATAAAATGTCTGGCACACTTAACAGTAAGCTGCATTTATATTCACCATTATCTACAAATGGGGGTAGCATTATATATGGTATAAATGAGGGGACTAGAGAGATGGCTCAGAGGTTAAGAGCACTGGCTGCTCTTCCAAGGTCCAGAGTTCAATTCCCAGCAACCATTTGGTGGCTCACAACCATCTATAATGTTGCCCTCTTCTGGCATGAAGGCACACATACAAGCAGAATACTGTAAAAATTGTAAGTCTTAAAAAAAAAAAAAAAGAATGTCATATATATGGTATAAATGGCTTAAAAAAAAAAAAGGCTATGCCTGATTTCAGTAAGAACGTTATCATTTGCTGTTGTAGTTGAGTGTATTCCCTTCAACAGAAATTTGAATTCCTATTCACTCACAGTTAGAAAAGTTAAACTGGCACATGTAAAGGAGTTAATGTCTTAAAGAAAATCAACCTTGGACCAATGATACACAGCAGCCATTGGCTACCTTCCACATAGCTTCTCAAAAGGTTCCAGGTAGGTTCAAACCTCAGTTGCATGTAGGTGATTAGCTCAATAATTCACCTTTTCCCCTTTCTTTGCTATATGACAATTTCCAGTACTCACCTACAGTTTCTTAAAAGCACAAGCCAAAACATACTATCTGAAAAGATAATCTCAGACTCTTATTATTTGTAGAATATTTGTAGAAAATTAAGCTAATACAGTACCAGAAATATCTCAAAGACACTAAAGGCTCAAGATGGAATTCTTAACCTGGATCTCATCAGCCTATTTGGTTGAAGACCGCAGGTAATCTCACTGGTGATGGGTTTGAAATGAAGTAAAAAGGAAGCACTGGTTAATTGGGAAGCTATAGCATTTAAACCGTATAAGGCAAGGGAAAAAAGATTATGGGCTATTCAGTGTCCAATGTTAACTTCAGACTTTGGAAAAAGTAAACTCAAGAAGCTCAGAGTAGCTAGCTTTAAGTAAAGGTATACTGTGAAAAATCAGAATGTATACAAAGGCAATGTCAAAGACCACTACTTCAGTAGGTATTATCTCAGAACAAACAACATTTAAGATTAGACTCAGAAATCACACATTAGAAACACCCACCAACAAATGTTGCCTTCACTTCCAAGGTATTGCATGAAACCCTAAACTCTAGGCTGGGAACATCTGAGTGTGACAGGTGGAGAACTTTGAATCTCCTAACTCTATTTTGCCTTTATTTGTGTCTGAGTAGGGGGTGAGTCTGTATGTGGGTGCTGGGAATTGAACCCGGGTTCTTTGCAACAGTATCAAGTACTCTTAACCACCGAGCCAACTCCTGTTCGAAGATAAGTGTCCTTTCAAGCACTAAGCTGGTTAGTCCAATTTCCTCTCTGAATGTGAATCATACATCTCAAAGCCAGTTTTCAGCTGAATGTAGCCAGCATTCTTTGAATTTTAAGTATTTTACTGTATGACCTCTCCTTGCCTTTTTTTCCCAGATCCTAAGATTTAAAATTACCTTTACACTAAAACATTTGGCTATCTTCTTGTGTCATACAGAATATTTAAGAAATTATTTCGGGGGGGGTGGGGGGGATAAGAAGCCTATCTTTATATCCCCTGAAGCAGCTTGTTCATCAAAGAGATATAAACACTGAATGAATTTATTCTGGACCTTCGCAAGTGTAACGTATCAAACTTGTTCAGTACTATTGTTTAACTCTGTTTGTCTAGTGGCTGTCCTGTAGGTCAAACTGATGACACTAAGATCTAGTAGTTGCTTTGTATTCATAGTCATCCCAAAGGTCAGCAGGAGACTTCTGTTCACCAGCCACTCAAGACTCCAGGATGAGAGGTTTCATCTCAGTAGAAACCTCCATGATTACCATGGAGTTTCAAGGTAAGAAACTGCAATTGAGCACATCACATACCATCTTACACATACTCAGGAGTGATACAGGTCCTTTTGCTTGGATTTCTTTTGGCAAAGCATGTCATATAACTTTGAAATCTGTTCTATATGAAATCCTTAAGTAATTTCCACCAAATAACACCAAAAATCAAAACAAAAAACTCTGGTAGTACGAATTTGTAGTTGTTTTATGTCAATCACCTTGGTCTCCTAGTTTACTCTGTAAGAGAAGTACCAACTCCAACGCAGAAAGCATGGCACAGATAATCAAAACCCAAGACAAAGTACGCGGTTGCAAAATGGCCATTTATTGCCTACAGGAAAGGAGAGGAGAGAGAGGGGGAGAGTACACAAGTGCAAGGAAACAAGCATATATTTAGCCCTGTACATCGTGTGTGAGCAGTACCCAATCTCCAGAATGGAAAAAAGTATTTGTCATCTGACATGTAGTTAAGGTTCTTAAGCACCTCCCTTCTGAGCTGCCACAAGGTTTCAAAGGCAGGACTGCTTTGTTTAGTCAGTGTTCACATTAATGAAAAAGAATACCACCACCCAACCATGTCCTTTTGCACGCACATCTTCTACAGTGTCTACTATGAAAACATCTCAGCTGAGCAGTTCGGTCAAGATCCAGACCTTATCAACTCTTTGATAAATAGAAAAATAAAGCAGCTGGTGATTTTATCAGAGAGAATGAGAGTAGAACCATCTTTTCCAGAGATGACAAGAAAGAGTTAAATGTTTCGAGTATCACAGAACCAGTCTATCAAACATTATTAGTAGCTACAACTACATGGCACTTCATTAAATCCTCTAATTATGAAAAAAAAAAAAAAAGGGAAAAGCTTAGACTGAAAATGATTATCAGAATACAATTGATTTAGTGCTTGGCCTTTTCTTAAGGTAAAAATAAATACACAACTTAAACAGTAGAATCTGCTTGGAGTGGTATTAATAGAAATTACCGAGCATCCACTGGGATTACTAAAACATCTTGCTTAGTTTTAGGATCATGTGCTTTACTTTTTAGACCATTGTGATAGTTACAAAAACACTATACAGGCCACAGAATGACTCAAGTGTATGCAAAAGAATAAATTAGTCAACCTGATGCCAGGAAACCAAAATAAATTATCCCTTCCCTAGTCAAATGCTAAAGTCTTTGAATAATTACTTGGCACTTATACAGTTGAAAATTAGATACAACTTAATCTCTGGTTAATATAGTCAAACATCCTGGCCTTTTTAAAGAAAAAAGGTATGTATTTTTTTTTCTCTTAAAAAAAAAAAGAATAAAAAGTGCTATCCCACTTCAGATACAACAAAGTTAATCATTTGCCCTCCTTGAAATACTCCAAGTACTCCTACTGAACCCAACTCCTCAGCTTCTTCTGGACGAAAGAACTGCTTGCATTTGGACAACTGTGAATGCCCGTAGTGCACTTTTCAGTGCTGCTGGTGTTTAAGAAATCTGCCACTCACATGACACTGAACAAGTCTAGATCCAGTGTGCAGTAACAGCCATCCAAACCCCTGCTCTCTCCAAGTGAGCAGAGCACCGCTCTAGAGTTTCAGAGGTAAGGGAAGATACTTTTACCAAGTTAAGCACAGAGAAAGGACAGTAGTTTCTGAATACAGAGCAACCCACACACTGCAACACTTACCACATTAAAGCTGAAACAGTAGCAGGACATTAAAAGTCTTGTCTGGTAAGAAGCAAAGCCACTGTTTGGCACGCCAATGCTGAGCCAATATTCTGAGTTCAAGTAATTACATACAAATTAAACAAATGTGGTACACCGAACAAGGGATAGCTAAGAAAATATGTCAATACTCTGAAATAATGAGCAAGAAAGGATCATTTTTTTCAGAGGGCTGCCACCATGACTCCTATGCTTTTTGAAGTGACAGATACAGAGAGAAATTAAACAAATGCAGGAAACCTGCTGATAAAATAACCAATTAATAGGTGCCAAATTATGCCTTCTGAAATATTTTGAAAGGTGAAATCATGCCAGGAGTCATGGTTTCTGATGGCACACTTCTAATTTCAATTCAGTGCTACTAATTTTATAGGCTGCATCATTAAAAAAAAAAAATCAACATTTAATAGGCATGCTCTTAATTTATATTTTTTGAAAGTTAGCTTATTTAACTAAAAAGTACTTCACTTTCTCCTTTGGATCCAAGAATAAACCAAGTCTAGCATAAATCAAGTTAACCAAACTTATGCTGAAACTACTATGTTAATAAAAATTTCCCTGGAATCTGTTTCTTCCTACAGGCCTTTTAACTAAGAAACTTAGATGAATGCATTTAGTTAAAACAAGTACACATTCTCTTCCTTTTCATCTTCCTGAACATAGTGTCTTCCCTTCCCATTTTCCTCTTTCTTTCTGTGGCTCTTGCTCAGAACACATTAAGGGTTTCCTTTTATCTCTTGAAACATTTAAGTGAAAATTATGAAAGATGCTCTTAGCATCCTTAAAGTTTGTCCTTAAACTTTGGTAAATAAGCAGGTTAAAGGTGTACTAGCATTTACTTGTGTTTGAATTTAAGTTTGGAAATCATGGTGCAATTACAGAATTAAAATCATCCAGAGCAATCATAAACATAAATGTTCTCTTCTGTCTACAAATTCAAAACTTCAGTTGAAGTTCCTGATTTAGAAAAATAACTCTAACTTCTCTACTTAATTTATCGACTTCTAACAGACAAAAGTCATACAAATATGATACAAACTAAATGGAAAGTTGGTAAACATCTTTAACACACTAGAAAGGTGTTACTTTGGGTTTTATGGGGGGAGAGGAGAAGAAAAACTTTACAAACATTACAGCTCACATTTCAGTCAAAACATTTGTTACTTTGAACATGTGACAAAGAAGTTTTGCTGATGCAGGACCATTGCTGTAATACAATGTGCATTTCCTGTGACTGAAGCTATGAACCAGTTAGCATACTCTGCAAAACTACTAAAATATTCCAGCAACTGAGAAAATAAAAGATGAAATTTTAAATCAGTATAGGATGAAGTCAATTTTTAATACTAGGAAATCTAGCCTTGTGTTAGAAATGAAGTTCTATGCTCCTGGCTCCTTCAATGAACATACTCAGTCTCTTTTCCTTTGTGCTTTTCCTTCTCTTTGCTATTTGCTATTGAGTATACAGGTGGTATTTGTAATTTTTATGAATTCTTGAAAATACAATACAGACTTAAAATTTCAATTGACAAGACATACTCAGGAGACAGAATTTTTAAATGGAGCACAATTTTGTCCATGTTCTAGATTTAATTGCCACACCCTCAATTTTAACATAATCAGTCACAGATTCAAGTGATATGAGTCTTGGATTGTTTTCAACTTTCTCCCTTCTCAGTGATTTATGACTTTAAGACAAAAAGGGGGGATAAGTTTCATATTTCTACAAATTATAACACTAAAACATAGTGGCTTTTAAAATACATTCACACAGGATGCTTATTAGTAAAATTAAATATCTGCCTATGGATACCAGAAACATAATTTGAAAAGAAAGAGATTGGAACAAGGCAAATGGGAGGGGGTGAGGAAGCTGGTCTCAGAACCCATTGTGCCATACCTGACTTTAACATGTGAGATTCAAATGAATGTTCACACGCCTTACATCAAATAAATCAAACAAAAATATTCAGCTATGTTGTACAAAAATTTTTTACATAAAACATCATAAATCTTGAACAGATTTACTGTATCTGAATTCTAAAAAGTTGCCTATAGAATGGTGCTGGGATTCTGTTCTCTGCTTGCTTTTAGGCAGTGCTGTTGCTTAAAAGTTGACACCAGGCACAATATTGTAAAACAAAGTCAACAAGCAAGGAGCAGTAAGTGATTTGAGCCTTTTCCAGATGTCAGTCCTGAGGATGCTGCAATATTCCCCATCAAAGTGTGTAAAGCTATGAGGAGGATACTGACGCTTGACAGTGGGTGACTTGACATGCACTTGGATGACTGTTAGAATGGCAAACAGTGCAGTTTCCCCTTCTTCAGACAACACCATTTTAATAAACTTAACACTCCAGTTCTTAAGACAATTACTAGAAATCATATTTAACATTTAAAAAAATACATAGCACTATTCTAAAAATGCCCAAATTTTCTTTTATCAGATAAAATATGCAGCAGCCCAATGGCATAAAGCTTATTAACTTATTCTGAGAACTAGAAAGTATATGAGCATATATATTTCACTTTCATTGAATATATACTATGTCATTCACCTGTCCTTTGGGCTTCTCACTGCCAAAGTTCCAAATGGCATGCATTTAACAAGACAATGCTGAGGACAGCAGCATTTCTGATCATCTGAACTGGCAGCTCAAAACAAGATACCACTCCTTTTACAAAGGGAACAGAGGAAAACAGTGTGTAAAATTTGGGCAAGAGGCTAAAGGGAAACCGTGCACATGAAATTTAAGATACCATGCCCTAGGTGTGTGCCACCCAAAACAAAACACAGTCACCTACTTCAACAAAGCTACTACCAACAGTTACGAAAACCACATTAAAATACACAGGATAATGAATGGTTTGAAAGAGTGCATTTGGAAGCAGAGAGACCCAATTACACACCTTCTTGCAACAGAGTGCCTCAATCATACACAAAATAAACTTAAGCTGTTTACAATGTTTCCCAATTTTTTTATTTTCCCCTCTACATTTAACTATTAAAAAAGATTTGTATTAATAAATGGGCTCCTCTGTGGTTCATATACAATCATAAGTGAACTTTAAATTTCATTTTATACAAACATCTCAAAAAATATCGGGAGTGAAGTATGGTAGGAAATATTGCTCACATTGCTAATTAACATGCGTCTATGAAAGAAGAATGTTCTGTCAGTGCATATACCTCCAGAGCAGAAAACCCATATGAAACAGAAGTTCTAAAACTAAACATACAGTAGCTGATTACAAAAAAAAGGTAATGTCCACAAAATTAAGTTTTTCATGCTATTCTACTTTCCAGTACTACGCTTCAGGTAATCAATTTGCATGGCTAGATGTTGGATGCTTGAGGTATATAAGAAGGGATACCTGAACACTGAGGAAAATCTGTCATCAAGGGTTTAATTTGCTTGTTTGTTTATTCAGGTACTTTAACATTTTTAAAAGAATATTTTATTTACATCAAACTTTGCTGAACTACAAGACATTCCAATTACAATAGATGACAACGCCTCTGTCACTAGGCACTTTTAAAAGGGAGTTTAGGCTTTAAAGACCTCTTCTGGATGCAATCCTTTGTGATATTACATCATCCCACCACCCTCATCCCACTAAAATTACCCTTTGGGGAAATATTATTTTATATAGCCTGATCAGTAAACTATGGAAGAAATTAGTATAAAATGACCACAGGAAATGTATCATTTAAGACTAATAAAACAGCCTAAGATGTCAGGTTTGAAAGAGGAAACAATTTGTATATTTTTAAAACTAATTAAATAATTTAAATTTAACTTGTACTTTATATATTAGTGAGACACAAATATAGGCTATTTTCTTTTAGAATTTCATCACATAATGGAAAATTTCTTGTTTATTAAAAATATCACATTTTGATACTAGAAACAGTAAAGTGCATGAAAAGTTTAAAATATAAATTTCAGAAAACTCTTATAGCAGCAAAAAAGCAGAATAAAGAAAAACTTAAAAACACAGACACAACCTTTTCCAATGTTACTGTGCCATAATTAACATCAGTCAGCCAACTAATTTTCTCCCCACAATAGTATTTATGCTCATCTGCCTCATAAGTGAGATTTTCAAGTGGCCCCTCCTGGCCAACAATAGGGGTGGTGGTGGTTCCAATACATCTAGAGGCATCAAACTTTGGGAATAAAACAGTAGCTTAATTCAAATCTAGACAGAATGGCAACAAATATTAAAAGCATATGATGGCCATTTGGCAGCTAGAGTCAGAAGAAAATGATTTAAGGTTTACAACTACTTTCCCCATCTGTCCTCTCCTTAAAATCTTCTCTACTGTTAACTTGAAACAAAACAAAACAACAAACAAATAGCCATTTTACTTACTTTGGAAAACATATGTAATATTATATGGCTTTCCCTTTTCGAAACTTTGACCAGGGGCTTTTCATTCAGCAATTTTCTTTAAACATTAAACTGTAGTAAAGATGATATGAATCATGTTTTTTTTTTTTTTTTTTTTTTTTGTATTTTTTTTTTTTTTTTCTCTCTCAGTACAACCAGACAGAAAAGAAGGGTGGACAAAGAAAATGAAAAATAGCAGACATTAATTTTTTGGGCATTCTAAAAATACCAAATCTACTTTAAAGATGTATGGCAGTATAATCTGCTATTTCCTTATAAATGAACTGAAGAGATGGGCTCAGAGTTAATATTTCTAAAAAAATTATAAATAAAAGGCAAGAAAAAAGAATGATTCCTCAAACAAAACAACCAGCATTTGGCCAACAAACTGCCACATACTATGCTTGATTTTTAAAGCATGTTGTGCAATTATCTTTCATTTCTCAAATTATCTTGTTGTGACTAGTGGCTATATCATATTTAATATACAAACCAAGCAAATTTAAGTGCTTTGTTAATGTGCAAATGACTTGGGAGCCAAAAATTAGCTTGTTATGAAAGAAAACAGAAAACTCAAAAGTTTTTCCTATAAGGCATGCCATCATTCAATTGAAAATCTTCTATTTGGAGTTTGTAGAAATCACCTTTTACAAAAATGATTGACGTATTTGAAAACATTCAAAGGAATGTATTTGTTTTTACAGAACAACACTGGTGTTGGACCTCAGATTGTAATTTATCAATTGTGAATGTTGGTTCCTAATATAATAGGAAAAGAAATCCAATTTTAAAGTATATTAAACTTTTGGATAGATAGAGAGAAACAGTAATACTTTGGTTCCAGCCCTAGTGCCAAATGATATCAGTATGCACAAAAATATACAAAGTCTTATAGCAAACACACAGTGAAAAGAACCTGAAGAAGCAGCTTAAGGATGGCCATACTTCACTCCTACATACTTTGATTTACAACTGTACAGGTCCATAGCAACAGATCCCCGTCTCTGCGGGGCTGTACTCCACTACCTCCGATTAGGCAAGTGAACACCATTGACAAGAGGCAGGAGTGGAGGGTGGAGTTCAAGTTGTGTTAACAGTGAGAAGTGGTCTGAAGGGATGTGAGGGTGTGGACACCCAGTGATGTTGTTCTCAACCAGCCATTGAGGATCTAAAGGCCCCAGGACACCAAGCACGTTCATATGAGTCTTGGAATAGAAAATGTAGTCAATCACACCCTGGAAAGAGATTAGGGATAACAGGGAGGGGAAGGGAAAAATACGTTTAGAAAAAGAGAAAACCTCCAAAAAAGGAACAATACTTAATTTGGAAACGCCAAATAACTAAGAAACCTATACTCCTGGTACCTGTTATTGTGACTGTATATCTAATTAGGCTCTAATCTTTGATGGGTTATTTTATGAATGAAGGTGGCCCAACAAAGCATCCTAGTGAATCATAAAATTTTATATTTGTACATAAACCTAAAAAGCTAAACACAAACTTACATCTAAGCACCTTTGGAACAGACCTTCTTTGTTTAGTAAAATATAATATATGAGTAAAATACTATACAGTTAACTGCCCTAATTTGCTTAGTTTAAAATACTCATTTCTAGAAACCTTGGACTAAAGCAAAGTATCAGCCAGCAGGGAAGAGACACATACATGCAGACACACACCTGTATATATAATATCGGCTCTTTTTCCCAGAGCTAGATGACTGGATTCATTTGATAAGCAGAAAGCAAAATTAATATGCCTTCACTGTTCCAAGCTGTGCACAGATTTTACCTAAGCTAGTGCTTTCCTATATCAAGAGTGCCTACACTCAGGAAGAAACAAGTACATGTGAAATTCACTCATTCATTCATTTAATGCAGCAAGGCTTTGCTATATAACCAAGCCTGGCTTGACTTCAAGATCCTCCTTCCTCACCCTATCATGTGCTGGAATTACAGGTGCATGTTTTATCTGATGCATATAAGATATGTTAAAGAAACACCTTGAAGAGTTTTAGACCAATTCAGAAGATGGCAAATAGGCCAAATTTTGTTTTCTTTTTAATTTTATAGTTTATGGATAAGCTAAAAAGTAAGCTTTTAAAAAGTAAGGAAGAATTAATTTCTCTTAACCTACTCACATATCAAGACAAAAATAACAGCTGGACAATTATTTTGAAGAATTTTTATTAGAGTTCTTTTGGGGTATGCTTAGAAACATATTACATATTGTTATTATAAATATTATGTTATTAAATTAAAGTAAACTATATATCACTAAGTATAGAAGTATTTCTTTCAACTTCTGTAAAAACAGCCCTTTACTAGAGCTAGCGATTAGCAACTTTAATAGATTTTAAAAAGTACATAATCCACAGAAAACACTACAAGTCTGGCTTATTTTCCACAGAAAGCTAGTTCTTAAATGTTTAACAGCACATGACCATATACAAAGTGATCAACACAATACAAGCTACCAATGCATATATTTATCTAATAGTAAAACCACATTAACTTTTAAGCCATTTTATGTCTCATTTCAATAAAAGCTGACTAATATCAACATACAGCTCTTTCTTCCTCCTACTTTTGTTTGGAAAGGAATAAACAAACATCAAAAATTGAAAAAGGAGGCTGGGCACTATGGTGCAAATCTTTAACTTTTAATCCCAGCACACAGAAGGCAAAGGCAGGTGGAATCCTATGATTTAAAAGCCAGCCTGGTCTACATAGTAAGTTCCAGGTCAGAGAAACTTGGTCTCACAAAACAAAACAAAGAGAAAGAAGAGAAAGAAGAGAAAGAGAGAGAAGGAAGGAAGGAAGGAAGGAAGGAAGGAAGGAAGGAAGGAAGGAA